AAGACCTCCTGGATAGGGGGGGGGCGACAGAGAGTCAGAGACTGAGGGAGAGACGGAGGGAGAACGAGAAAGCGAGAGAGAGAGCGAGAGAGAGGCACAAGTCACACGCAACAGCAGAGAGAAACAAAGACACAGACTGCGAGGGGAGCGGGAGTTTTGGGGGAGGGGGGGCGGAGGGGAACAGAAGGGGGCGAACGGGGAGGACAAGGGACGGGGTTATGGGTGGGGCTCAGGGGGGCGGCGCCTGGCAGGGTCCCAGAGGAGCATAAGGGGGGAGAGCGGGACGAGAGGAGGGGGGGAGGGAGGATGGGGTTGGATGGGTCCTTGCCCTTTCCAGTCGAACCCCCTGGCCGAGGCAGCCGAATCGCAGACCCCTGCAGTGGCGCCCGTCGCGGCCAGCCGGGTCCGCAGCCGAGCCCTTGGCGGTCCAGGGCGGACGTCTGGTCCAGGCTGCGCGCTGCTGCCCTGAACCAGCCCAATCCCAGGCAGCCAGGGGTCGTCGAGCACCGGAGAGCCCCAGAACCTTAATATCACGATGAAGACGTGGCCTCATGCAGGTCCCCGTCTCCGCACTAGAGAGAATCATTCTGGACGGTTTGGTCTGATACATCTGATGAGAAGACTCTCTATCCCAATTGTTTGGGCTCTCCTAATTTCGGTCTCCTCCAAATGGGCCAGCCTGGGCCAGTCCGCAGTCCCGGCCATCCAGCGCCCCAGCAGCCCCTGGCGAGCAGCCAGTCGGATGTTGCAGCCCCTCTGGCCCGAAGCCGCAGTGCGTTCTGAAACGGCCTCTCCAGTAGTAGTCGAAGAAGAACAGTTACATACACATTATTGTTTCGGAGGTCCGCGCGGATTTCTTGCATCGGCGCTGAGGCCACCCTGGCGGCGCCTCGGGCGCCGCCCTTGGCGCGCAGATGCAAGAGCACCGCGTGGAGCTCCGAAAGTGTATGTTTATGCGTTGCTTCTTCCTCGAACGGTGGCTGTCGATCAGATGCTTCGGGAGATTCCTGAACGCATAGGAAGCAAGCCAAACATTGGCTTCTGGATCTTGGGCGGTGGCCTTACTTGATCGGATATGTGAGAAACCGGCTGTGCAGCAAGCAACGCATATAAGGTGGTTGGAAGCAAGAAGAAATAACGAGGATACAGATGGTGAAGCTTGACGTATCAGCCGATACATCCAAGACAATCACCATGCTCTGCAACCTTCATCACGATCAATTTCTGATTTTGCTCGCAAAGGTCAGAGTTGCCGGCCAAAGAAATACAACGTTGTAGGAACTGTTGTTGCGCGCCGTCGAGCTGTTTGAGTAGTGACAGGTGCTGTGACATGAATGAAGGTGATAGTTGCACGTTCAATGTAACATAGAATGTGGCGTTCGCTAACGTCTGGTAAAGCGTTGCGTGTCGCACAGTTCAACGAACACGTCATATTCCAGCTTCCAAAGCATCTTTGCAGAACACAGCTCTCTGCATCCCTACTCCCCCTGCCCCTTCCTCCTTTACCTTCATCTCCTCCGTCTGCGTCGTAGCTCCCGACCTCACACTTCTCCTCCATCGTGATCGGGCTCCCGTAACTCTTCCCCGGGCCCCCGGACCTCTCCCGCCGGGGTGTGCTCTGGCCGGGATTCCGAGGCAAGAGCAGCCATGCGTGGCGACGAGGGCGGAGACTCAACTATGATCCAGAACGTAACGCTTCCGACGCCGTCGTCGTCATCGTCGTCGTCGTTGCCCTCGGCGTCGTCGCCGTCGTCGTCGTCGTCGTCGCCCTCGTCGTCGTCTTCCTCCTCGGTGCAATTTTCTGAGGGTGGACACATATGTGTACCAACCTACTCGGCCGCGATTGCTGTAGTCGCGACCTTCGCCCTTACTACATGGGGCACAAAACCTTCCTTCAACGCCTGAATGGCTCGTTGGAGGTGGTCCCCAGGACCCTTGCACAGTGGAAGGAGCGGAGTGAGCTGGCGAGACGACGCCGCCCCACAAGCAGCCCACAAGATGCCAGCCAGTGACCCAACCCTCCTCTTCCTTCCCCTTCTTGTGTCGTCGTCCTCCTCCTCCTCCTCTTCCTCCTCCTCCTCCTCCTCCTTCTCCTCCTCCTCCTCCCCCTCCTCCTCCCCCCCTCGCCCGCAGCCGCTGCAGCGCTGTCGGGCTTGGAGCCGCCGACCTCGGGCCTCGCCACCTTTTCGCAGCACTGAGCTGGCCTCGGCGGCCCCGACACCGCCGACCCTGGACGCTCGGAGGCCGATGGCCGAGGCACGCGAGCACCGCACACCCCGCTCGTCCCATGGAGGCCCGAGCATCGGGCTGGACGAAAGGGGGGGATTGGGAAAGAGGGGGGGGTACGACATTTGCCGCATGCAGCCGGTTTCGGCCCCACCGAGGGGCCCATTCCTCGATACGTAGCCGCCTCTGGCGCCGGGAGGCGCCGGGAAAGTCAGCTACGTGAGCTGATTCTCAACCCCCCCCTTTGCCATCCCCCCCTTTCGACCGACCCGAGAGCAGCTCATGATCTTCTTCTGGGGAAGCACCACAACCAGGCCCCCGGGAGCCTTGCGAAAGGCCCTGGCCCTGGGTCTGAACGTGGCGCAGTCTGGTGAGCGCAGTCCTCGACCAGCAGCAACTGGGACTTGCCAAATCCGTAAGGGCCTCTCGCCCCCATGCCGCCGGCCCCCCGCTCTCAGAATGGGACTTGCCAGAGCTGTGTTGAAATGTCTGGACGCTGACGTAAAACAACGTCGGGACTTCACGCGAGGGCCAATATTGAATTACGATGGTTTATGGCTTCGGTGGCGCGAATATTAGGTAACGTACGATGGTTTATGGCTTCGGGGACGCGAGTATTGCGTACTTTACAAGTGTTTGTGGCCTCGGGGGCGAACATATGGTGTAATTTACTAGGGTTCGTGGCCTCTGGGGCGCAAACAGCGTATACTTTACGAAGGTTTATGGCCTCGCGGGCGCGAACCGTGTGTATAGTTTGCGAGGGTGTGTGGCCTCGGGGACGCAAGCACGGTGTTACTTTCAAGGGTTTATGGCCCTGGGGACGCGAAGGTTGCCTAGTTTTCGATGGTGTATGGCTTCGGTGGCGCGAGAATGCTATAAATTATGAGGGTGTATGGCTTCTGGGGCGCGCAGAGCGCGAAATGTACAAAGGTTTATGGCTCCGGGGATGCGAATATGATGTCATTTACTAAGGATTATGGCTTCGGGGATGCAATTATTGTGCAATGTTCGATGGTTTATGGCCTCGGGGACGCGGATATGGCGTAATCTACTATGGATTCTGGCTTCGGGGACGCGAATATTATGTATTTTTACGTGTCCCACGACCCCCCGGGAATTCAGACAACGCGATTCGGGGACGCTAGCCAGGACGCTTTTCGGCTCCCCCTCTCGGGCGTGCAGCAACAATGAACAGTAAGGAAGCAGAAAGCAGGACTGTAACAGTGGAAACTGGAAGCTGCAACTGGCACAGGGAGCTGCAAACCTAATCTTCGCAGTCTGATGGCCCCGCAAGGGGGCCGGCGGATTTCTCGCAAGCTCTTGGCGATAGCATAATTATACTTAGACGCAACATGCTTCGCCCAGCCGTCAGCACAGTGATTGCCAAAACGGCCCCTCCTGGAAATCTGTCGTTGTTCACATCGGACTCGGACACGTGGGCCTTGACTTTCCGAACTTGGAGCCCTTGTGTCGTCGTCCTCCTGCTCCTCCTCCTGCTCCTCCTCCTGCTCCTCCTCCTGCTCCTCGTCCTCCTCCTCCTCCTCCTCCTCCTCCTCCTCCTCCTCTTCCTCCTCCTCCTCCTCCTCCTCCTCCTCCTCCTCCTCCTCCCTCTCCCAACAGCTCCGAAGTTGCGGTTTTCACCACAGGGTACCCCCAGGGAGGTCTCGGTCCCCGACCCCTTCCTTGAGGGCCTGGAGCTGGTTTTGACAGCCATGGAGCCCAGAGTCGGGGAACAAACAATGACAGGCGACTTTCGGATGTCCGTGCGGACATTCGACAGTTTATGCTCATGTCATTGTTGGCTCCCCTGCAGAGACTGCCTCCGGACGCCCCGCAGCCCCTCCGGCTCGAGTCGGCCCCCTTATCCCGCCCGATCGGTCGCCCTGCCGCGACGACTCCTGCGAAGAGCCAGGGAGAATGTTGCCAGAAGACGCTTCCGCCAATTATTCGTATCCTCTGACCTGGGCTGCCAACTCCAGCAGAGAACAGCTGGATGGTTTTGCCCAGCTGACCGTGGTCGGCGTTAGCGGGGCGTTCCTGGTGGCCTTCGTCGTGGTCAATTTCCTGAACATCAAGCATCTGTCTTTCCCGGCACCGCTGGTCATGGGGAAACCAAAAGGTACCGATACCGCTACCCACCCCCTGGACCTCCTCCAGTGTGCGTTCTGACCAGGATTTCGAGGCGCATCCAGCGGTGGCGACGAGGGCCTCCCAGGAGGCCCCCAAAAGGAAAAACGGGCGAGGGGGTAGAGGTATTCTTTTCCTCCTCTGAGGTCATTGTCATCATAGGGGCTGGTTTTGGATCGTATCTGTGGTGGACTCCCGCTTTCGGGGAGAGGCACACTCTGTCGCAGTCGCTGGTCCAGTGGGTATTCGGGCTCTGGCTGACGTACGTCGCCCTGCCCGTGCTGATGTTTGAAGCAGGCTGGTCGCTAAAGCTCCGGGACTTTGTGTCCCAGCTTGGTTACATATTGTTGTTCGCCATCATAGGGACGATCGCGTCCATGATCGTCGTCGCCTATCTCATCCTCTGGACCTCGGGTTACCACGGCGTTTATGACGCGAGGACCGCATTCGCCTACGGCGCGCTCATATCCTCGGTCGACCCGGTCGCAACCTTGACGACCTTCAACCACCTGAATGTGGACCCGCTGCTATACATCCTCGTGTTCGGAGAGGCCTCGATCAACGATGCCGTGGCGATCGCCATCTTCGACACGCTGAACAGCAAATCCATTGGTCAAATCGACCAGGGCTTCGCCGTGGGCTGGAAAGTGGTCGAGCTCTTCTGCGGCTCCGCGCTGCTGGGCCTCGCGCTGGGCATCGCCTACATCCTGACCCTGCGTCTCACCCGCATCAATCGCTCGCCTGCCGAGGCCACGCTGTTCATCTTCGTGTCCTGCTTCTTCACCTTCGCGCTCGCCGAGTCGGTGGTAGGGAACCGAACTTTAAACACCAACGCCTTTTCTGGCCCTGCGCTGAAACTCCTACAAGAAAGCGGATCCTGGTGTATATGTGGTCCTGGTGTATGCATTTTTCTTTGTTGCCCTGGGGAAACAGGGAAAAAGTATACACCACACCACCCCGACGTCGTCCCCGACCCTCAAAAAGTCTTGGGATTGAAAGATAGCCCGCCACTGGTAATGTATATGTTCCAGTTTCCGAGGTGGGCATGTCGGGCATCATCACCAACCTCTTCAACTCGATTTTCGTTGGCATGTACGCTGGGTCCCACCTCTCCCCGCAGGAGATGACCTTGGCCTCCTTCCTGCTGAAGCAGACCGCGACCCTGATGGACATGTCCATATTCATGCTCTGCGGAATAGAGGCGGTCTTCTCTTTGGTGGCTGTGGACTGGGGAGGCTTTCTGTTCGGCCTGTGGGTGGCACTGTTCTGCTTGGTGGGGCGCTTCTTCGCCGTATACCCCCTGGCCTTCGTCTCCAATCTGATTAAGCAGAAAGTCGGCAAGAAGCTGCCAGCAGAGACACGGCATCTAATCACCAACAAGCACATGTTCATGATGTGGCACTCTGGCTTGCGAGGTGGTGTATCTCTGAAGCTGGCCATCGACTTTGGGAAGTGGGTGGACGACGCGAACACATGCAAGAGTGACAATTGCAGCGAACTTGGCATCCGGAATCAGATCATCACAGGTACTTTTGTCATGATATGTATTTATTTGCTGCTCTTCGGAAGCACAACTGGGTTATGCTTGCGGATGCTCGGCCTGCCCATGGGCGACCAAGTACCCCACGGTCAGAACCTCTACGAGAGCAGTGACAAGGACGGAGCGGCTTGGCGGAATTTGGAGATGATCCGGCACAAGGTCCTCTACCCTGTCCTCGTAGGGCGCAGCAACGACAACAGCGACGACGAGCGCAACGACAACGAAATCGCGACGGAGCTGCCGGACGTGCAGGAGCACCAACGGGAACGAGCGGCATCAGACCACCTACGGGAACGAGCGGTACCAGATCACGGGAACGAGCCGCACACGGGCCTCAGTGGCCCTTTGACTTGCCCGATGCCGAGGATGCCTATAGCGAGGGGCCGCGCTGACAGCGAGGTTATGCTCGACCTGTACGGCACCTGCGACCCCGCGCATGCGAACAGCATCGCGGACCAGATCGCGTGGCGTAGACACACCGCTCCTGGCAGCGGGCAGGCCGGGACCGAGTCCAGCCTGAGCAGCGACAGCGACAGCGAGGCGTGACCGTCAAAGGGCGGGCAGCGCTGCTGGGCAGGAGGCGTTGATGCTGACGGATGTGCTGCCGCAGTGCTGGCTGCACCTCTGGCGACTTCACAACCAAGGCGTTTTGCTCCGCGAGGCTCCGCATCTGCAGGTGGGCTGCATCGCTGCGGTACAAAAATATAGGTTGTCAAGTGAATTCTTGACGCTTCGCGTATGCCCACCAGTCTTCCCTCGGCGGTTGCAGCCTCTGCCCTCAGCGCAGCAGCAGCTTCCCTCGGCGGTATGTTCTGCTGTTGCCTGCGCGCGCGCGCTAGGCAATTGGTTCTGCTCGTAGCCCGAGCCGACTTGTGACGCCACCGGCGCCTTCGCCTGCGGTCGCGACAAAAAAAGTATCCCCACCAGCCCATCCCAAGACAGCAACTTTTGCGAAGCTTGCCAACTATCGTGATTTTCGCGCGTACTTCCTCCTGCCTTCGGAGGAGGAGGAGGAGGAGGAGGAGGAGGTGGGGGAGAGAGAGGAGGGAGGAGGGGAGAGGAGGAGGAGGCGGATAAGGAGGAGGAAGAGGAGGAGGAGGAGTAGCAGGAGGAGGGGGAGGAGGAGGAGGAAGGAGTAGGAGGGGAAGGATAATGAGGAGGAAACATGACGATCAGAAGAGCCTCCTCGGATGTCTCTTCTTGTTTTTTTGAAGCCTCTTGGAGCGTCTGGGGGGCATCTTGGGTGCCTCGGGGATCCCCTTGAAGCTTCTTGGTGGCCTCTTGGGAGCCTCTTGGATGTCTCTTGGGCGCCTCTTGGGGCCGTCTGATCGCCTCCTGCCATCTTGGAGGACATCGATCAAACAAGAGGGGTTCCTCAATTAGCGTTGCCCCTCAGGAGCCCCAAACATTGTCTCTTGGGGCGCTCTTGGGGCGCTCTTGGAGCGCTCTCGGGCTCTCTTGGGGCCGTCTTGGGGCTCTCTTGGGCCTCTCTTGGGGCCCTCTTGGGCCATCTCGGAGCCATCTTGAGGCCTCGGAAGGCGATCGAAAGCGAACCGGCGACGATGCAATAATCATTGATTTCCCAACGGTTTTTGAAGGATGTTTGCTTCTTGGAGGCCTCCTTGATCGTTTCGGAAGCTTCTTGGAGCCCTCTTGGAGCGGTTTGGGGGCCTCTTGGGGCCATCTTGAAGCATCTGAGGGTATCTTGAGCCATCTTGGAGCTCATCTAGGGCTCTTGGGCGCTCTTGGAGCTGTCTTGGGCCATTTTGAACGCTCCAGCTACCAGCGAAACCACCTGTCCAGGTCCAGGGGAGGGGGTAGGGGGAGGGGTTAAGCTACCCACCCGCCCGCAAGCCGTCTAGCTCACGCCCACTCGCCCTCCCAACACATAAGTAACACCCGAGCCTGAGCATGTTCAACGGTCGTCTTTGGATGCGCAGCTACTGGGAACCAAAGCCGACCCAGGTGCGCGACGTTTGGGCGAGGTGCGCCACGCGTGCCAGGGGCGCTACGCGCGCCATGCAGCCCTGGGGCCCGAGTGTGCCAGGCACGCCTGGTGCGCCAGATGCGCCACGTGCTCCGAGTGCGCCAGGTGTGCCGTACTTTCCAGCCGCGCCAGGTGCGCCACGTTCGGGGCACGTGCAGAGTGCGTCAGGTGCGCCTGCGCACGTGACAGCACACATCGGGAAACATGTCGGCCCCCGCCATTATTTTGCCATTCTTTTCGAAAAGCAATACCCATCATTGTGTCTGGTGGGTCTGCGCACAGCAGGTCACGCGCCACCACCCCCGCCGTCCCTATCAAAATCCACTTGACGGTTATCGCGGGATGGCCGCGCATGATCCAGATTCAGCCGCGGGGTGCAAGTTGTATTTTTTTTTGTCTGGGATGGTAGCCCTTCGCGCAGCAGGGAGTAAGCTGACACCCCCGCCGTCCTTGTCGAAACCAATACGAAGTGCTCGCGGGCCTCACGAACATGACTCAAGCCTTTGGCCCAAAGTGTATTTTGCATTGTCTTTTGACAGGGATGGTGGCGGGGCCACATCGGGTTGGCCGCGCGTGCTCCAAATGTGGAGGCAGAGTGCAGTTTGTATTGCTTTTCTGACTGGGATGGTGGGGGGCGGGCCCGCATAGAGTCGGCATGGTTCCGGGTTGGCCGCCGGCCGGGTGGGGGAGGGGGTGTGTTCTAATAAAGAATAAACCCCTCCTCGAAGGGGAAGGAGGGGGTTGGAACAGGAGCCTCCCTAGACCACCTACGCCCAGAAGGCTGGTGGGATTGTTGACGCTTCGCGTATCCCCGCCAACCCGTAGCCCCCCCTGGCTCAAGCCTTTAACTCAAACCGTTTCTCCCGAGCCCGCCCCTGGACAGGTTCGCGCCGGGCCGGCCCCGCGATGGCTTCGCCCCCCTCGGGCGCCGCCCTGCGGCGGCGGCAGCGCCTGGCCGCCGCCGCGCGCGCCGGGCTGCCGCCTGCCGCGGCCGCGGCTGCTCCCGCCTGGCCGCCGCCGCCGGCCGCCGCCTCCACCCTGAGGCCGGCGTGCGCGGAGGCCGGCGGCGGCCGCGGGCGGGCGGACGCGGCCGGCGGCGAGCGTCTCGGCCGCCGCCGCCCGCTGCCTCTTCCCGTGGTGACTGGCGAGCGCCGGAACGCGAACTGGGCGGGCGAGCCCGCCGCGGCCCACAGCCCGGCCGTACATGCCGCCGGCCCCCGCGGGGCCCCCACCACTCCGCGGAAAGCCTCTCCCCAGCTGCATGCGGCCTCGCCGCCACCGCTTCCCCCCCGGCGGCGGCGGCCAGCCGGCGCCGCGGCCCCGCGGTCGCGGCCTCCCTCGCGGCGGCCGGCTGCCGCCTGCTGCTTGCCGCTTGGCCGAGCGTGCGCCTCGCCGCCCCCTCGGCCGCCTGCGCCTCGGCGCCGCCGCTGCCCGCAGCGGCCGTTTTTCCCCGCGGCCAGAGCCGGCCACCGGCTCCCCCCGGCGGCGGCGGCCGGGGCCGGCTGGCGCGCGCCCGCGGGGCCGGCGTCGCGGCTGCCTTCGCGGCGGCCGCTGCTGCTGCCGCTGCCGCCGCCGCTGCCGGCCCCCCGTCGGCGGCGGCGGCGGCGGCGGCCGGCGGCGCCACGGGCCAGCCCCGCAGCCAGCCCCACGGCCAGCCCCACGGCCAGCCCCACGGCCCCGGCCAGCCCCGGCGGCGGCGAGCCCGGGCAGCCCCACAGCCAGCACTACGGCCAGCCCGACGGCCAGCCGCGCGGCCCGCCCCAAGGCCTGCCAGGCGGCCTGCCCCCCGAGCTGCCCGACGGTCAGCCCCGCGGCCTGCTTGGCTGCCAGCCCAGCCGGCCAGTGGGTCCCCCCCGCAGCCAGCCAGACAGCCAGCCTCACGGCCGTACCCGCGGCCTGCCCGACGGCCCGCCCTGGCAAGAAGACGCAGTCGAAGAGAGATCCTCAAGAACTCAAGCGGCCGTCAGCTGCAACCCTGGAGGGGCAGAGACCCACAACAACTCAGACGGCAGTCAAACGCAACCCTGGTGACGAGGGACCCGCGAGAGCCCAAGGCACCCTCTCTGACCGTCAGAAGGAGGTACCCCTGCTCCCCGACGACCTTCCCGGCACCCCTGGCGGCCAGCAGACCCCGCAGAAAAAAAAACAGGGGAAGGGCACGGAACGGGTCAGAAGGAGGCACCCCCGCCCCCTGACGCCGTTCCGGGCACCCCTGGCGGCCAGCAGACTGGGCAGGAAGACGCAGGCGAAGAGAGATCTCCCCCAGTGGTCCGATATAACCTTTTTTTGGTTACATGATTATGTTGCGTTTTTTGAATAATCATCATGTTATGAAGATAGTCACATGTTGTTGTTTTTTTTCATGGCGGGCGGCAATCGAACAAATGTTTCTGAACATTTGCTTTCACTCAGCGTTTGATTTCTTAGGCATGGTTTTTTTGCACGATACGGTCATGCTGTGAGACCCCAAAGCGTTTCGAAACGTTTGCGCTGCTGTTTCGACCTTTGACAACCTCACAAAATTATGCCAAGCAACTTAGCTCAAGCGAACGCCCACCAGTTCACCTCTATAACTGAGGTTGACGTCGAGTTTGGCGTCACGTACAACATAAAAGCAAGAAGCGCAGCTCGACCCCGAGCCTGGTTCGACTATGTAGGTTCGTGGCCGATCGTCGTCCTTGTACTCATCTCGTCCTCCTCTCCCCACTCTCCCGTTCCTTCCTCATCATCTCCTCTTCTTCTTCTTCCTCCTCCTCCTCCTCCTCCTCCTCCTCCTCCTCCTCCTCTTCCTCGTAGTCTTCCTCCCTCTCCTCCCCCGCCTCTTCCTCCCCCCTCTCTTCCTCCCCCTTTCTCCTCCTCCTCCTCCTCCTCCTCCTCCTCCTCCCCCATCCTCCTCCTCCTCCTCCCCCGCTTTCATTCAAAGCGAAAGCTATTTGTTCAGACCACGTCGTGGGGTCAGGGTCGCGTTTGGTGAGCGTTCGAGACGGCGTGCCGCGGCATCTTGCAGCCGTCGCCTCTCTTTCCCTCAGCCCTCCCCTCCTCCTCTTCCTCCTCCGCCTCCTCCTCCTCCTCCCTCCCCTTCCTCCTCCTCCTCCCCTTCCTCCTCCTCCCCCTCCTCCTCCTCTCCCTCGCCTCCTCCATCTTCTTTTCTCTGCTCTTCCATGCGACGCGCGATGCGAAGGTACCTGTCCCTTGCATGCTCTCTGCCATGTTCTTGCGTTGAGGAGAAAATGAAGGAGGGCGCCTATCTTGCGAAACAAGAATCGTCCCGTGTTTCGTACTCATGCGAACAATTTGATTGGCTAATTGCTTACGCGGGCGTCGGTGGCCGTCGTCGTCTTCGTCAGCGTCAGCGTCATCGTCGTCAGTGGGCGTCTGTCGCCATTACATGTCGTTCGTCGTCCGACCGTCTTCGACCGCCGTCGTCATTTTTAGAGTTGTAGTCGTCATTCGTCGTCTCTCGCCCTGTCGTCCGTTGCCGTCGTACGTGCGCGGACCTAGGATTTGCTTACCCCACCACCCGTCACTTCTTGGGCAAAGGTCTCTTGTGCCAATATCCCGTGGCTCTTGTTGTTTTGTTTTTTGTTTTGATCGGCGTGCGTCCTCGGGTGGGCATCGGTGCTCGACGCGGTTGTTAGCCTCCCACGTGCTCTTCAGCACTGCTCGGGCTGCATGGGGTCCGAAAAAACACGGGGTGACATTGGGGGAAGTGATACAACAAAAGGGCATCATTTCTTCTCACATTTAGTCGATCCTTGATGTGCACTGCGAGCGAGTGCGATGCCATGAGCGTGCGCGTGTGAATGTGTTTGTGTGCTTGCGCGCGCGTGCGTGCGCAGTAGTGCGTGCGAAGGGAGGCCGCTCGCGGCTGGCGGCCGAGCCCTTCGCGCCGTTTTAGGCGCGCGCCTACTAAATAGATCGAAACCGAACGTGCTGTTCTTCTTTCTCTCCCTGATCCTTCTCCTCCTGCTCCTGCTCCTCCTCCTCCTCCTCATCCTTCTCATCTTTAATCCTCCTAGCCCATCCTGCCATATCCATCCTCGCATCCACTATCGCTTCCTTCCGATCCTCATGATTTCACTCCTCTCTCCCTCTTGTCCTCCGTTCGTTTCTCCTCTCTCCTCCATCCTCCTCCTTCTCATCATGACCATCGTCCTCCATGCGTCCCTTTATCACTCATCTCCATGTCCACTTCTCTCCAGACTTCCGTTTCCTCCTCAATCACGCTCTCGCTGCCCACCCTTTCGATTCCCCCTCCTCGTCGCGTCGGGCCTCCTCCCTCTCACTCCTCCCCCCTTTTCCTCCTCCTCCTCCTCCTCCTCCTCCTCATCCTCTCTCCTCCTCCTCCTCCTCCTCCTCCTACGCTCTCCTACCCACCCCACCTCTCCTCGATCTCGCGCCCTGGGGAACAGATAAGGCGGATACGGAAGTGGAACGAGGGCAAGAACGAGATCATGGACGGGGAATGCAGCGGGCGTCCTGTGAAGACCGCGCGCATACCTGACGTCGACTTCCGAGACACGTGTTGCCCGGCGCAGCAGCCATGGGCGTTACTGGCGGGTGACACCAGAGATGCGCCTCGCCACTTTTCGCAACAAACCGCTAGACTGCGTGCGTGGAGGAGAACAAAGCGGTTCCGCAGAGCCGCAAAACTGTAAACTGCCGACGCGCACGTGCGTCGGACAACAGCAAGCACAGTGCGCAGGCTGCAACCAGAAATTGAGTCTGGACCGAAACGGACGTCGTGCACTCCCAGAACAATTGCTCTCTGAAGCTCGAATCGGTGGCAAAATCGGATCGGGTTGCGTGGCTGCGGGCACCGAATCGATACTCAAAACGCGTAGTCGCAACATCATATCGGCATCGGCATTGAAACATCGTTGAATCGAATACCGTACGGCGTTGAATCGTCGACGTGGGTGCGTTGAACAAGCATTGAATCGTTCTCGTCTCGAACTGTGTAACGCGTGTATTCGCTGGAGAGGGCGTGGATGGGGACACTATGAAAGGCGTCTCCTCGGGTGCTCCGATCACCGAAACATTGAAGCGGATGCTCGCCCTTTCTGTACGAGATTGCTGAGGGAAGGGGTGCGCCGCTCTGCGCAACTGATTGAAACAACTAGAACAAACTGCGTTGGAAGCAAAGCCATCGACCCGTCAATCCCTGACTGCACCCATTCACGCACGCTTCGGTGTGCGTGAACCCTTCTTAGAAATACCAACAGACGGGGTGGCTTGCAGCGCAGACTGGCTGTGTCTCGAGCGATGCGTTAGAAATGCTCGCCGCATGTTTGCACGCGCGAAGGGCGCAAACGCACCCAGGCACAAATTACAGCAACGCCTGGAACCAATCAAACACGGCACGCATCCGCCACTATCATTGCAAACGTGCGGCAGAATTCACTGGGGTAATGCTCAGAGTTGCTGAGCGCAGACTTGTTAAAGTTGACATGGCTGGTGCCGCGCCACGTCTTCGTCTGCGTGCGCTCCGACTTGCGCTGGGCAGAAACAGATAGCGGCTTGGATGCAGTGCACGTGCGGAAAACGCCGAGCTGAAATGAGCGACGGAACCACTGCGCCATGTCCTTAGGCAGGGTGTGGAACAGCTCAGTCGGCTTAAGCGAGCTGGCTCCGAAGGCCCCCATGTACGCGTGCACGCGCACGCCACCGATGAGGGCCAGCGCGCTCTCAACGTCAGGAGACCGAAAAAACAAAGACTTCGCTGGCTGCTCAATCACGGCGTAGAGATTCCGAAAGTGGCCGAAGGTAAGCATGGCGGACCTCCCAGTCGCATATCCCTTTTGCAATCAAAGGACAGCAGAACGTAAGGAGGAGGAGGAGGAAGAGGAGGAGGAGGAGGAGAAGCAGGAGGAGAAGAAGAAGATGAAGGAGGAGGATGAAGAGGGCGAGGAGGAGGAGTCGGAGGAGGAGGAGGAGGCGGAAGATGAGGACGTTGTCGCTCGTCGTCGTTTCAGAAGATGGCGATCATCTTTTGTTTCACCGATTACTATGTCCCTGGAGCATTCTGCAAGCCCTCTTGACTGGGTATGGTCTGCGGCTGACGCCATCCGATATCCATGTCTTTGTTTCCCTCTTCCTCGCCCCATTGACTCCCTCCACCTTCTCCGCCCTAGCCACCTCTTCGCCCCTCCCCCCCTGCGCCTTGCCATGTTCCCTCCCTTCGGACTTCAATCAGCTACGTCTTGCATTCCCTCATCGTTTCTTGTCAGGCATGGTCGTCCTTATCCTATTCGTCGCCGTTCTCCTCCTTGTCACCTTTCTCCTCTGCAGCGTCTTCGTGGCGCCCCGCCGCGAGTTGCCCATCCACCCCGATCCGATCTTCCAGCCCTCAGTGCAAAAACACGTTCAGTCCGAAAAACCGCGCGGATCTCGAGAGGGTACCGGCGAGAGGCGGCGGATTTATCGCCAGATCGTGTTGCTTGAATCGTTCTTGCTTGGGGCCAGTTTTCGAAATCATCTCCCCGAAGCGAGTCCAGCTGCGGCGACGAGGGGCCCCATGCGATCCCAGGAGGTTCTCATCGCGTGATTCCGCCAGGCCACTGAAGTCACACAACGCAGCAATAGCTACCCTGCCCCGCTCTCCCCCATCCCACGTGAAAGCAGCGCAGTGGTTCGCCTCCACGACGTCGCGCCTGCTCTCGTCCCCGTGCACGGACATCGGGCTGCGGCGCGTGTGGAAGCGCGCCAGGGTGATCCACGTGGAGCACTGCGGCGCGTAATGAACCGCGCCCCTCGCCACAATGCTTGCGACCAACCAAGACAGGTATAGCATCCCAACCAACGTGCACAGATCGTGATCTACGTTCACCTTCCGCTCCACGGCAAAGGCAACCAGATTGTGAACTGAACGAACGGTGTGGCAAGTTTCACCTCTCCCAGCAAAGACCTCCACAAAATGTGTAGTTCTGGGCACGCGGGCTGCTGCATCTGTGATTGCAGTTGTAAAGGCAGCCACCATTTTTGCAGAACCAATTGGATCGTGAAGAATTGCAGGCACCCCTTCCGATGAAAGCGTTGCAGCAGTAGCTTTCGCCCATAACATACCCTCTGTACATTCGGGATGGTGCGGTAGGCGTCGCGGGGCAGCCCCGCCAACCGGCGAGATCAATGTGGCTAGGAAGGTCAGCGCCAGCCACCGACGAGAGCAGTTGACGAGCTGCATGGCAGCCATGGTGATGAACCCAGCTGCGTCTGTAAGGAGAGAAGGCTGTGGCTCCTGTACTCAAAGCTTCTGCGGTAGGCAAATCGAGCAATGTCGCGGAGCAAAATGTTCAGCGTTTCGTCCACGAAGCAACTGTAGGATTTGGGCGATCCCTGGTGCCACACCCTGGGGGAGTGCTAATTCAGAAACTAAACGCGCACCCTCTCTATCTTGTAATTTCGCGCCTCGCGCTCATCATCTCGCGGTTACCTTCGCGCCTTCCAGCGTCGTGGGACCTGCGGGCAATCACTGATATGGTACAGGCCGCGGCGACCGAATCGCGATTATCTTCGCTTGTCTGGGGTAGCCTATATTCTACCATCCCTTTTCCTTCTCCTCATTTTTGTTATCCTTCCCTGGTGCCTCAGCACTCTTGCACACTTGCTTACCATTTCCCCAAGTGTCCTAGTTTCGTGTAACCGACTCTGCAGCCATAGAAGGCCTCACCGCCGAGTTTAAGGTTGCACCGCCGAACTTGGAGCTATGACAAAATGACTCTATCTCCTCTGCTCCTTCCTCGTGGGCGCACTCCTCCGTGCACTGCTCTCTCCTCGGCTCCTCTTTGCGTGCTTTCCTTGCTTGCTCTGCTGCCATTGGCGGGCCCCGTCGTCGTCCTCGTCGCCCCCCTCTCACCACCCCATATTCGCCTGGCAACCTCCTCTGGGGGTCAGCGTCCAAAAAACCGAGCAGCTCGACTCCGAGGCGATCTGAAGGCACTGCCGCTTTGACCCCCCTGCGGCCGCCAGGGGCGCGGGGGCACGGAGCCGGACAGAGATCCTGCAGGCGCATGCGCCTGCAGGATCTCTGTCCGCGGGCGATGCCCACGATAACGAGGACGAGGAAGAGATCAAGGATGATGCAGGCGACAGCGGCGACCACGATAAGAGCAAGAGGCACGAGAGGATAGCGGAAGAGGAGGAAGCGACGAGGTATCAGGACCAGTGGATACGTTGGGACAGAGTTGGGAGACGCACCCGTAGGATTCGAGGCTCCATCTTGAATATCTCAGGATGGGGGTGGGGAGAGTGGGATTGACAAGTTTGCTAACGACCTCGTTTTCTCTGATCCCCAGAATGCGAACCGTTTTAAAATGCCCGCATTCCTGTCGACGAGGTGGCACAGTAGGTGGGCCTTCGGAGTGAACGCGATCCCCGCCTCCCTGGCGCACTTAAGATACATCGCCACTTGTATTTTCATGTCTCGTTGGCCGTCTGTGGAAACAATATTCGGCTCTTTCCTCATGAGGTTCATCAAATTCTGAAGCGCAACGCCTGCGCTAATCAAATGCCGCCCAAATCGGCCTTCACCCCCGTGCGTTACGAGCTCGTGGACCACGAAATCGAGTAATACGGAGGCCTCTGCCGCTTTGATGCTTATGTGCCCCCCAGGGTGTTGCCAGTTCTGGAGGGCGCCGTTGTTATAGCAATGCAAATCCGACGTTCTGAATCCTCTGAACATGTTTTCCTGTCTGGTCCAGCAGTGGCAGCGAGGAGCCCCCTGTTTTTCGAACGACTTCCCTCTCTTCCCACCCGTTTCTCATTCACCATCTTCATCTCATCATCCGTAGCCGTTCCAAAGACACCGAAATAAAAACAAAAAGCTCACCTGGTGGTCGCAGAAATGTTTCTTGCCCAGCATCTTCAAGGTGATCATAGCGATGCGGTTCGCGTGAGGAACTGGGGGCGTGCATGACCTTTGCCACGACGCCAGCTCTGACGACAGCTGCTTCACCGCCAGATCTGTCACTACTGCCGCGGAGTTGCCTCTGAACCCCCACGGGTTGCTTAGTACTAGCCGCCACAGACACGCTGCCACGTAGCGTTGCATCACACCTAAGTGAATATCGTGCATAGCGTCAATGGCGAGATTATGCACGGGGTTGGTGCCGATGCGCTCGTCGAACAATGGGCACCTGTGGTTCAGGCAGTCGAGGGGCAGGTTTCCTGGCGGAGCTCCGATGCGTTGTCGCCAGAAGACGACTCGGATTGGAAGTGGCATTCTGTGCACGGTGCCCACATCTGGGGTGTGTTCGCTCGGCTCCATCCTGTCCCCCTTGCGCAGCCTCGTCCCGTTCACCTCGACGTCGCGGGTGACGATGCGGCCGCCGAGGCCTTTCGACGGCTGCGCCCATCTGATTGACGCCAGCAGTTCCTTCCGCTGCGCCTCCGAAGTTACAACCACCTCTTGCTCGCACTGTTTTGCTGCCTTCTCGTAATCACTCGGTGCTCGAAGCATCCACGATGGGCCATCGGGCATGGTCAACTCGTCGAACCACTGATGGAGCTCGGAATGCTCTGTCTCGCAGAACTGGCAGCAGTTGTGAACTTGACTCCATGACGCGAGCCCGAGCGTGCGAGCGTGCTCGCACCAGTCGCCCTTCACGAACACCAGCGCTGCCCTGTATGATAGCGGGCTGGCGTTTGCCGAAGCTGGCAAAGGAGAGCCATTTGCCGACGTTGTCGGCCGTTGACCTTCACCCATGGAGATGAATTGGCGTCGGACTTCTGACAGAAGAGGATACACGGAACACCAGCCACGGCAGCCGCAGGCGCACTCTTCTGAATGCCTGAGCGTGGAGAGGAGATGCCTCTTGTTGCTTAAGAGATTCACCAGCCAGATCCCCGTCACGGAATCTTGCCGGCCAGAGGCTGATTGGTGGTACGTCACGCCATCAATGTAGATGCCGCATGGGGTCGGCTTCGGCCCGCCTTCGCACCGCGCTTTCTCCACGATGGGATGCGTGGTATATACAGGGGCGTCGAGGACGCATTTCTCTCTGGCGTTGGGATCAGCGTTCAGCTGCTCTAAGATCGACTTGTCATTGTGAAGTTCATCTTCTAGGCACTCTTGCGCCATCCTGATGGGCACTTCCCTTACTACTCTGGCGGCGCCTTGTCGTTCAGTCATGGGGACTTCGACCATGTCTAAGTGAGTTGGCTCTGGCAGCACGTTGTCGAGAGGCCGCTGGTACTTGCCAGATTGTTTTCCAGTCGGGAGTGCGCAAGTACTGAATGCTGCCCCTGGCACCTTAGCGTCCACGCAACTTTGGCAAATAGTGCAGAGATGTTTTGCCGACAATCTGCATGTAGAATACAAGTCCAAAAGCGCGTGAAGGAGTGCTGCCCCAGCCTTGCGTTGCTCTAACGTCGAAGTCGTCAAACAGTGCTGCCGACGCGGGCTTCTAGTCCGATCGTCATATTGTGCTGGTGGTGGAGGTATTTTTGGAGGCATACGGTAAACGTTGCATGGGCACTTGAAGCCACAATAGCTACTGCAGCAACCATGCCATCATCATTATCATCACCATCATCGTTATCATCACGTCACGCCTCCACCCCTCCCTATTCCGATTTGATTGTTCACATGTGAGGGTCACGTTTTTCTCCTGAAGGGATAGAGCTCGTCGCCACAGCCAGAGTCGTTTCTCCTATACTCGATCAATTGCAGAAACTACCGAAATTGACTCAACCCGCGTTCTTGCCCCCGTCGTTCTTCCCCCTGGATCAGTGTTCTTGCGATATGTTGTTTGCGAGTTATTGCCCTGGAGTTCTTGCCCTCGGATTTCTTGCCTTCGGAGTGTTTGCCTTCCGTGTTCTTGCGTTCGTCGGTGGTGTTATCGTTCGTATACATGTGATTGCCATCGTTCAATACCTGGCCTCTGCTTCCGTCGACGAAGAGGTATAGTTGTCGCCCCGTAAGCGGACATTCATTGACATGGCCAAGGTCATGAGTTGCACGAGCATAGCCCATTGCGTCATGGATCGCGGGATCGCCATTTGGATTCTTGGGGGGCATTCGGTTTCCGAAGTTTGTGGACGAGCAAGGGGGCCCTGGGATCTTCTCAAGAGGAAATGGCTAACAAAGACGGGCAATGAGTGCGCAACCAGTCTCAATTAGTTCGCCAGACCCACGGGAGGAGGCACGGGGATGCATCAGGGCGATGGTGACTCTCTTGCGTGCTGACACATCGCATGAGCCCCGAGCTCTCTCTCTCTCTCTCTCTCTCTCTCTCTCTCTCTCTCTCTCTCTCTCTCTCTCTCTCTCTCTCTTCCCTCTCTATGTCTCTCTCAACAGCGACGCAGGCGATGAGAAAATGAATGTTTGGTGGAGGGGGAAGGGGGCGGGGAGGGAGAGGGGGGGGGATGAGGGTGGGGGGGAGGAGGAAGATGAGGTTACGAGGGCATGAGGAGGGGGAGAGAGCGGAGAAGGCTAGGGGGGCAGGCAGGGGAGGAGAGAGGGCGAGGAGGAGGAGGAGGAGAAGGCCACCAAGCTCTTTCAAGTACCCCACAAGTGTGAATGCATGATTGACTCGACAACTTACTTAGCAGCTCTCGGCACAATCGCCACCATGAGCGACCACGAGCGGCGATGCAATTGCGTTGCCTTCTCGCCAGGTGCATTCGCATGGCGATGATCATCGCCGAGACGAGCGCACCCAGTTTCGAGCAACAAAGCTGAAACGAGAGCAACAAGCTGCAATGCCTGCGATCGCCTGCTGTCTATAACGAAAGCGTCTCTACTGCTCGCCGCCACTGTGCCGGAGAGAGGCAAAACCTGTCATAACACCCGAATCTGAGTCCGATGGGCGATCGCACGCATATACGTGCATCACTTGAAAAGACTGGGCTTCTGTTTGGCAGGCGACAGGAGGGACCAGCGGCTAAAGTGGTGAGCAAGAGTACACCCGAGCCTCCGCAGACTGAAATCCCGATGAATTTCTCTGCCCCTGGAAATTCAACGGTACTTCAACGGTCCCAGGCCGAGGTACCATTTGGGGTTCAACGGTACTTCAACGGTAGATTGTATGTGTTTTTACAGGGTTCGGGGACCTTCAACGGTACTTCAACGGTACTTCAACGGCGGCAGTTTCAACGGTACTTCACCGGTAATTCAACGGTCCAAAACTGTAGGTGCGGGTCGGCCGCCGCCCGATTTTCAATCGTCTTGATCAAACATCTCCAAAAAATCTGCGGCCAAGGGTTCAGTCCAAAACGCTCGGCCTGGCTAGCCGAACCACGCGAAGAAGAATTCTGCGTACAACTCGCGCAGCAAAGCTGAATGAACTAACTGGCGAGAGGCCAATGCTAAAAAAAAAAAAGCAAACTAACTGTCGAGATCACGAACACGATATCAAGCGGTTTTGCCCCCCGCACGCCCCCCCGCCCCGTCGCCCCCGTCGGCGCACGCCGCCACTGATGCCAGAGATCAGTAAGTCTCGCGGGATCTTTTTTTGGCCCTGGCCTTTTTCTCTTCTCTTGGGCTGGTGGGGAAGAGGAGAAAAAGAACCGCCTCCGGCAGCTGCCCCGCAGCCTCTCAAAGAGGGCAGAAATTTCGACTGTCCTGGTCCGAGTGCCTCCTCCTCCTCTTCCTCCATCTCTTTCTCCTCCTCCCTCTCCCCTAGTTCAGTCCACCACGATCACTCCTCCCCCTCAGCTTCCCTTCCTCCTGCCTCCTACCGCCCGCCTCCTCCTCCTCCTCCGCTTCCTCCTCCTCTCCTCCTCCTCCTCCTCCCCCGCCGTCGAGAGACCCTCCCTGATCAGAGCCTTCCTGACGCACACTTCAAGAAGCCTTTGTGACGAGCTTGCATGCGTCTCAGCCCATTGTCGAGCGGGTCCTTCACTGCATTGATGGCTGTTCAGGTGCGGCACGGGAACTCGATAGATTCCCGAGCTTTTTTTCCTTTTCGGGAGGATGGCCAGGCATGTCCCTGGTCAGCAATTTGATGATGAGCGGGTTCGTGTCGACGACGTTCTGCAAGGCCTCGATCTTGGCGGTGAGGTCAGCGTGGTCATTCGTGTTCTTGCATCACGACCAGTCCTGGCTCGTCTCAATGGACTTCGCCAACGTGTTAGCCTGCAGCTGGATCTGCTGGAAGCGGACCATCATCCTCTTGACATTGTTCATCGCTTCCGTGAGCTCCGATTTCTGCCGCTTGCCATCAGCGCTGCCGCTGCCACCCCCAGGAGCATCGCCTCGGCCCCTCCTCGGCCTCGGCTGCGGCAGAACAGGCGTGGCGGGGACAGGTCCATCAGCTCCGTCACCGCCAGATGCCTTTTGGCGGAGACAAGTTATGACAACAAAAAAGTCAACCCACCGCGACACCCCTCCTCTTCCTCCTTCTCCACCTCCTCCTCCTTCTCCTCCTCCTCCTATCTCCCCCTCTCCATCTTCGGTATCCCTGTCATGTTCCTCCTCCTCGTCCGCTTTGATATCTCCCTCATCCACCTCGCCCCCCCTACTCGCTCACATCTCCTCCTCTCCCTCCTCCTTCCGCGCCGTCTTCCTCCTTCCTCGCCCTTCATGTTCATCCTGCCTCCTCGCCCTCCCCAGCGTCCTTTCCCCCCGAGCGCCTCGCCGCGGGCTGCAGGCAGCTCCGCCGTGCTCGGCTCGACCTCGGCGAGCTTGCCGGCGGAGGCCCGTCCCGACGCCGCCGCCGCTCGCGGCGCTGAGGCTGCTGGGGCTGCTGACGTCGCTGCCGCCGCCGCAACAGCAGGGATCGCCGAGGACGCCCCTGGCGCGGTGACCTCCTCTGGCGCGTCTGTCCACTCCTCGTGACTCCGCCAGCACTTGGAGAAGGTCTCCGTGAGGCCTGGCGGATTCGATGTCGACATCGAGCCCTCCCACTATCGTTCGGAACGGATCGGAGTCGGCGTCGTTATCTCGCAACCGTTTCTATCGACATCGATCGATCGGGCTCGTTCGTGACAGATGGCCTGTCGTCACGTACAGCGCGCGGAGCACCTCTGTCATGGGGTGGTACTGCGCCCACGGGGGGCCCATCGCCATGCATTTGAACATGTACCGCGATGCCTAGGGGATGCGACGATACATGTTGGGGGGAGACAGGAAGGATGAGGACGGGGAGCAGCAGCAGAAGGAGAAGGAGGAGAAGGAGAAGGCGAGGATGGAGGAGGAGGAAGAAGTGAGGAGGAGGAGGAGGAGGAGGAGGTGGAGGAGATGGAGGAGGAGGAGGAGGAGGAGGAGGAGGAGGAGTAGGCGAGCAGGCCAGTTCTGTCCCTGGCTACCTGCACCCAGCCCTGCTTGCCCCCGCCCTCCTTGTGGGCGATGCGCCCGATCGGGAGATATTCCGATTTTCTCCAGAAGCTGCGCTGCTCCTCGGTGATGACGATGTGTTTCGTGGCGGCCGACTTCCACTGCTTCTTGGCCCAGTCCTGCCTGCGGAGATGCTCATGCAAATCGTCGCCCACATGAAGTAAGCCCCAGCCGAGACGCGAACTCTCGGCTGAGGCTTTACATGATGCAGGAGTCATTTTCAGAGCATCTCGCCTGAATAGCCGCTTCGCCTCGGCCCCACTCGTGGACTCGTATTCCTTCTTGAGTTCGGGCTTGGCGGCGATGGCACGATCCCATCGGCCAGCGACGGGGTTGCCCGCCTTG